CTAGGACACCGAATGTGGTTGGATTTCTGTAGGTTTTTTCCCCCTTCGATTATTTGAATTAAATCAACGTTATACTTGTTTGACTTATCTTGCGTCCGTGCTCCTTCGTTCGCTGTTGTAATGCAGACGTTTTCATTCCAAAGGTCAAACGGTTTGAATAGCCTATGAGTGTTACTTCTTTAACGGCCGTCCGTACTTGACTCTGTTTGTACTATACCAACAACAACGCGTCCGCGTGATGCTCCTTACGTCAGTAATATTCAACCGTCCAGAGTTAATATGGTTAATCAAATTCACCTTAAGTTCCATATAGGAATCCTAGTTCACCCTAAACGGACAGGACAGAAAAACGGTTCTTGGCCTTTCGCCATAAGGACAGCTTTACGTATTTAAGCTCAATATTTTGTAAACAAGTTCTTTTGGAGCCAAGTACTTTGTGCGAGTCTTCAACTCATTACTCATAACACAAGTCAAACATACACTTAATGCAAACGTTGTCATCGCCAAAGGCGATAGGTCATTCTGACATGGAAATGGGTTTCGTCAGAAGTTTATAACCTTCTGGTTTCGTTGAATACGAAGAACATCGAATCAGTCTCAGTACTAAGATCCATACTCTTGACGAGAAGAAGAAGAAGAAGAAGCACAAGTCATTCCAGCTTTAATTAGGCAAGTATTGATCATTGGAGTCGCTTAGGCGCAATTTTTATCCGCAATTGTTTTTTACGGATATAGGTTGCGTCCACACGTGCCCGCAAATTTTTGTGTCCGTATCCGCAAATTTTACGAAAACGGATACGTGTGGACGGTGAAAACGATTCGAATACGCTGCGTGTGGACGCAAACATTTTCGTATCCGCAAAAAATAATTTGCAGATACAAAAATTTCCGGATACGTGTGGACGGGGCCTTAGTTTCGAACCGTGGTCATTATCAACATACTGAGGAAACATAATTACAAATACGTCTCAATCCAATGCATTTTTCTTCTTTTTCTGTTTTCCTTTGATTGTCTAATCTTACAGCTCAGTTGACTTTGACAAGTTCCGCTATCTGATGCATTCACGTGACTATTTATATTAAACCCACGTGGCCCTATGTGTATCATCTGATTGGTTCTCCCAGTACTTTTCCTGTGCGCATGCGTACACCGCCTTTGAATGCGCACGTGCGTAGCCATTTTGAATTCAGTTCGAGTGTCTAGTCGATTACAAGGCTTAGTTTGAGGATGCGTGTGAGGTCTGAGCATACGCCGTGAAGAGCCGTGTGGTATGTTTCGAGATACACACTGTTGCCTTAGTAACGAGTGGTCATCACAGTTGTGTATGTTTTGTTCTCTTATGGTTCGTGAACATTCATGACAGCAAGAATCCTTGTCCTCAAATCCTTGGTTGATGTGAGAAATCAGGGGAGTGTTGTAATTGAGCTGGTTTTCTACGGTTTTATGGGCAGGTTTGTAATCCGATCTTTTGTCCTGTAATTCTGAATGTTCTGGCAAGTCGTGATCTTCTTGAGCTTTGCATCCCTTTTCCACATCTTTTTCCGATTTCTCGTCACTTCCGGTATGCGCTATTTGGGAACTGCACATTAGCAGAACACTCGGACTTCGAGACGATACGTTGTTGTTAGGAGAAGCCTGGGAAGTCTTTGTTACGGTAGTGGAAGAGTTGGAATATCCCCTCTTTTTGACGTTACTGAATAAGCTACAGAAAGAACGAGTTGCAGACATCCAAACTTCTTTGAATGCTGCCCTGAAATGTGGATTACGAATCCCGTAGATATAAGGATTCAAGGCGCTGTTCAAGAACACGCACCAATAAGCTGCCAGTCCAAGGTCACCTGTTAGATCGTTAGTCACGTGATTAGCTGTGATGTAAGCCACGTAAATGAAGTAAGGCGTCCAGCAAATAATAAACACCATGAGCATGATGAAGATAGTTAAAGCGATCTGGTTTTGAATTGATCTAGATGTAGATACTCTTGTAGTCATCGATGTGTGGCTCATACGACGGTTGTGAAGTCGAGCTGTTTTGTAAATTTTGACGTAAGCAAATCCCATGATGCTTAGCGGTATGACGTAAGCGACGAGGAATACCAGTCCTGCGTGTATGGTTTGTGCGAGAGAGACTGGGTTCTGTACACCGCATTGAGAACTTCCTAGAAAAGTAGCAGAGTAGCAATACAAGTTAAAACCATAGCGTCAAAACCAAATCACACTGAATGACAAGTTTTAATTGCTAACCTTGTTTATATTCATATCGTGTGAAGCCAGTAAGTGGCAGCGATGCAAACAACACGGGTTCAACCCACGCGACTGCCAGCATCAGGAGCGCCCGCTGTCTCGTCATTACTCGGTCCAGCGGTTTCACGATAGTAAAGTACTTGTCTATACCAATAGCAGTCAGTGTGAGTAGCGAACACATGGCGAACGTGATGTTAATGAAACCATTGAACTGACAAAGAGCGTCACCGAACACCCAGGACTGCCGTACACAGGTGATCACGGAGAATGGCATGCAGAGAATGGCCACGCCCAAGTCTGCAAACGCTAGATTCAATATAAACATATTAGTGCGCGTGCGCAAATGGGGTTTACGGTAGACCACCAAGAACAGCATCGTGTTTCCAAATATAGCAAAAAATTGAATGAGAACGAGGCTGATTGACAAAATCACGTGTTTGGCACCAAGCTCCAGGACGATCTGGCCGTGTTGTGGGGACAGAAAGCTTGTGTTCTGAATGTCAGATGACGTCATTATCTGAAAATAGAAATGTTTTCAATCAGGGGGAGAAATAAGACTTGTTTATCGGAAGATGACATCTGTAAACTTGATGATAAAACTCGATAAGTAAACTCGCGCAGTTAATTAACAAGAGCCTCATACTATTGTATCAACACTAATCAAACACAGTTAACTTGCTTCTACTATGACTTGGTTTAGGGTGTAATAAAAATAATTGAGACGACATAAAAAATAATTCTTTATTTGTTATATACTGAGTGAATAATTCTTAACCAAGTCCCCGGTATTCAGGCGAGTTTGTCATGTCAAGTCGCTCTCAAGACATGCAGGAATTTTCATGAACTAACATTAACCTATTTTAACCCCCACTGCGCGCCAAATTACCTTTAATTAGTAGCGTTTCTTCGTCTTTTTTTGAAAATCAGAGAGATGCCTTTACTCACCTTGTGGGCCGAGTGATGAAACTGTATATCGGTCAGGTAAAGCGATCAGCTCGTCTGATGTGTAACTATACTCGGTTCGTTACTGACTCAAGACAGTATTCGTAGTTTCGAACTAGTTTCGCAGTGGGCGCACTTTCGAAATTATTTTTAATCTCAATAGACAATCATTCTTGGTCGTTTCTCCCTTTGAAGTTCGTCACGATTCAAATTTCCAATGTTGGGGAAAGTTACATCTGCTACGTGGTGCGGAGAAGCCAAACTCAACTCTTGAAGCGAATATCCATTTAGAATTAAGATTAAACTGAGATTAGATCAGAAAATGCTAGTTAATACTGACAAAGGACAAGGGATTTCACCAGGTAACATAATGTAACATAATCAGAAAACAGATATTGACGAGGCTTTCATGTGACGAGCGAGTGTAGACTCAAGGGTAAAGCACTCGAAATACCAACAGAATGAAACCTTTGCACTCTAGGATGTTGTTTTCTAGAATTTGAGAGCTCCTTTAGTTCGAGTTTTTATCTCAACAGGGCCGAGTTACAGCTTTACGTGACCGTTAGTTTGCTTATACTGGAGTAATCTTATCTGGTTGATCAATATGGCCAGTAATATTATAATCTAAAAGACCTGAAACTATCTGGAAAGACATCATGTACATCATTATTATTATTATTTTGTACACTAAATATGCTCGTGATGCAAAATGTGTTTAGAATGGAAACAATCTCTTTATGGGTGAGGCAGTCTACAGGACACCAGTGTCATTCATGGAATTCACAGGAAGACGAGCTAAAACCACTTAATCCTTCCAAAATACCTAATTTATATTGCTATCAATACTATAAGTGGAAAAACAGGAGCTAGAATTAAAAAGAAACAGTCTTATCAAGAAACGCGGAAAAATCGACGTCAGTTCGCAAAATTGTTTGATCTTGTCACTTTGCCAGTCTTTTTTTTTTTTTTTTGCCAGGAGAGTTTCACATTGATACATCTAAATGAGGATCGGACATATTTTCAAGATGGCGTCTATTTCTTCCCCCAAAACAGTCCCACAATGCACTGCAATGCCAACTTAACTCAGCTTTTTCCTCAACCCCGGAACGGTCGCTGTCTTGACTTGTGCCGTGCGCTTTTCACACTTTCCCATACCAACTCCATTTAAGGTAGCAATGTGTTGCTACTTTACTATGACAGTAGAGTCGGCAAAAACTTTGGGAAAAATTATCTTTGTTTTCATTAAGTACTGAGAGCCACGCTAAGTACCTCAAAACAGTACGAAATTGCTTACTATCAATCACGTGACTTTTTGGAGTTGACTGGGGGGCAAACAAGCGGTTGACTGGGGGGCAACTAGCGGTTGACTGGGGGGCAACTAGCGGATGCTAAGTCAAAACATATCAAAATAAGTCCTCAAACTATTGTATTTGACTATTTTCACGACATCAAACCAGAAAACAAGAGATCAAAACAACCTCCAGGATTCTACAAGCCATCAAAAAAGAGCTATTACCGGAAGTGACGTCTATTGATAGCAACCTATAGTACTAACTAGTGCAATTGTTTTTGTTCTTTTGTTGAATTTCTATTGAAACGAAGATCCCAAAGCGTACAAAAAATGTCAAATACGTCACTGGTATGATCGTGAGAATGCTCAGGTCTGCATGTGCATTAGAGTATAAAGCACATGGTATCCTGAAGCTTCCATTTTTCTTCCTTCGAGCTGCTAAAGTTTCAGGAACAACCTGATCAAACTAAGCACATATAGAATATAGAATATACTCTCTCACACACCTACAATCAGTTTATCGTGTTACCATGGATACCACCCAAATTATAGTGGGAACGAGTTCGTTTCTACTTACCTTCGTGTTCAGCATCTCTGTATTCGCCAATGGCGCCATTTTGTATGTGTTTGTGAGAGACAAGAAACTCCGTGTGGCTTCATGTATTTTCATTTCTAATCTTGCATTCTGTGGTATCGTCCAAGGAGCGATTGTTTTTCCTCTTCTGCAGGTAGAAATCATGTTAGGATATCTGCTCATTGGCTCCAACAAAACTGCTTGTCTCGTACGGGAGTTTATCACCGAGTTAACTACATGTTCTAGTTTGTATGCATTGCTTTTGGTGGCTATCAATCGCTACGGTGTCATCTTATTCAAACACAACTACACCAAGATCTTTTCCAAGAACAAATCTACCATAATTGTATCTATAACGTGGACTATCTCTGTCTTGTATGCAGGCTGCCTGACTGTTTATCAATCGATGTCAAACATTCTAGAGGAGTTTAAGTGTCATTCAGCCTGTATGTTTCCCAGAGAAATAGCAGCTGCACAGTTTGCAGTCCTTGGCATTCCATTCACGGCATTCTTTGCCATCAATGCTGTCCTGGTAGCTCATTTTGTGCAAGACAGGAACAACCTACAGCTACCAGCCGAGTTCTACAGCAAAGATTCAATGTATCGCCGAACGATTCCGAGTAAAAGACGACGACTCACGAAGAACATACGAGTCCTCGCACTGACTATAGTCTCGTTTTCTTCGTGTCACGTGATCTACATTGGGTGCCTGGTGCTCGCAATGTTTACTGGGAAGTTCATTCGGGTGGCTTACATCACTAGCATGTCTTTGGTATGTTTTGGGTGTATAGTTCATCCATATTTATATGGGTACCTGAATAAACGCCTCAAGAGACCTCTACAACGTACCTCACGGCGCATGCGCGGATTTGTGTGTTGCAACAAAAAGAACCGGGAGAGACTGGTCGCTAAAATGAGTTCCATCAGCTTTACATCAAGTCGATTGAAGATGATAAATACGACAAGTGATTGTTCGATGGATGAGAGCATCTCAGAACTAACGCGAAGTAAAATATCCAACATAGTTTAGATATGATATTGGATTAATATTTATTAGATTAGTATTAGATTATTAAGTTGATATTTGAATATAAGATTATTATTAAATTGATATTAGAGTATTAAATAGGTAACTAAAGATTACAAGATTAATATACATTTATATTGTATACTAGTAGTTTAAAGTAAAATTCGGAGAAGACCTATTCTATGACCGGAAATAAAACCTAGGTGAAATTTCACTTCCGGTAGCTGTGGACTAAGATCTTTAAGGATATGCAAAGAATGATAGAGAAAAATTAACTATTTTAAAATAGTTCCCATGCTCACAGTGACCGGAAGTCAATTTCCATGACAAGTCACTTCCGGGTATCGTTTGTCACGTGACAAGTACCGATCAGAAAACTGGAGTATACAAGTAATAAGTACATAAATAACTAATTGAACACTGCATTATAAATACTTTATTTGTAATTCTTAAATCAGTATTTTACTACTATTAATATTGCTGCTAATAAAATCTAGTCAGATACATCAAATACTGCACTTCACGATAACACAATAGTCCCCTTCACAGTTCCCTGCACCATCTTGAAAGGTAGCTGTGCCTTTGCACCGAAGCGAGACGAACGGTGAGCTTGCAATGATAGAGACATGTGAATAGTTGTAGAAGGTGTTAAAAAAAGATCTCTATCATTGCAAGCTCACCGTTTGTCTCGCTGCGATGCAAAGGCACGGCTACCTTTCAAGATGGTGCAGGGAACTGTGAAGGGGTCTATTGTTTTWAAACAGAGCTTTCTTAACTAAAATACTAGATGGTTATTGGTTTATTTATGTGTACATTGATGCAATGTAGTCTGGTTGTCTGGGTTAGAGCGCTTCCCATGTTTCTGAGACCCAGTCAACTCCAACTCCAACTCCTGTTCTGGCATCTGTCAATCAAAACTACAGCAGTCCGAGTTAATGAATTTTTGATTGACGGAAGCCAAAATCCCAGGCGTCTAGAAATTGCAGAGGTCAAAGAAACATGAAAAATGCTATAAAGAATTTATGTATGTCAATTCCTGGAATATTTATAGTGCACAACTTTGCTACCCAAGGTATCTTGCATAGTCACACTAAGGGTCCATAAGCATCAAGAAAGCTTTATTAGCTAACTCTGATCGAGTGTTGCCCTCGATTCTCTTGGCTGCTCAGCATGTCTGCCAGTTTCCATGGCAATGTTGGTTGCCATAGCAATGCCTGGTTGCTATGGCATTGGTAAGTTTCCACGGCAGCGCCTGGCCTTTACACTGGCTGCCATGGGTAGCTTCATGGTGACATCATCGCAAGGACAATAAGCTAATTTTATTGGCTAGCTGCGATGTCACTGAGACCTTCTGATTGGTTGGTTATAGTGTGATGTCAGTGAGCCCATTTCATTGGCTGATTGTTGGTGGATTGCAGTCGAGGATCCTGTTCTGTTGTTGGATGGTAGATTTTGCCAGGGTGTGAAGAAAATGGAAATGAATCTCAAAGAAACAAGAAATAAAATCATTGTCACTTTTCAAAAATATTATTTTTGGAGTACTAAACTTCAGATGGTTGTGAAAACTATGGTAATTCAAAACACATCATGAAAAGTACCTTCACTTCTGGAAACTGAAATTGAATGAGAACCAAATCCTGAGTCTCCCTCAACACCCGAGTCTTCATGGTCCACCATGGCCTTGACAGCATGCAGGTCCTTCTTGTTGCCATAGTTACTTGATGTCAGAAGCCTTGTTGTTTCTATAGAAACAGCAAGAAATCAATAATCTTGAGTGAAAATTGTAAACAAGGAGTGACAATAAAACATCATCTCACCTGGCGGAGCTGTGGTTTGGCCGATGAGAGATGCATTCGCCTCTGCTGACATTTTCTTAATTTCTACTTCTGAAATGAAAACAAAATGTAACGGCTGGTTACTCGATGACAATTGTGCAACTACTTATTTCTATAGATGACAGAAGAGGCTGGTACTGAGAAACATGAAAACCAGGCTGGATGTATCTATTGCCCAAGACACAAGTCGAATAAAGAAAGAAATAGTTTGTCTCTTGCTTTGACTACAGATATTTAGAAAAAATCAACCTCAAACAATATCAAATTTCCATGAAAAAAATTGCACCAGCAATGATCCAGTCATTTCTGCAATCATTTTGCACTCTAACACTTTGGTGTAGTGACATAAATGGGCTGCAGGACGATGATTTGACAACTGTTTTACCAGGTATTTTGATGTCATCAAGAGTATCTGGAACTTCGTCTTCATCAGCAAGGATCTTTTTGACCTGTGCAAAGAAAATGAGTTTTAGGCAACAGTTATTTAACCATTGTCATCATATTAAATCCCATGCCTTATCACATCCCAGATGATTATGTAACATACTTCAGCAGTACTGGCTAGAGAATAAGGTGTCTCGTCTTCACTGTTCGTTTCCATGGTATCAGCTCCAGCAGCCACCAACAGAGCTGTCAGTCCTTCCAGTCCACGACCAGCAGCCAGATGCAGTGGTGTATTGTCATCAAAGGTATAGGAGTCAACATAACATTTGGCCTATGATGTAGAATGTTGAATCTATTCAGTATGCACAAACTTTGGGGGGAGGGGGAGGGGGAGTTGTTTTGTGCTAAAGACACTTCCCCCAGAGAACCCATTTATAGGCACACAGCTATGTAACTTGCTTACCTCAAGAATCAAAAAGCCAGCTATGGCTAAGTTATTGTTCTCGACAGCAAGATGAAGAGGAGTGCGCCCACAAGTACCATCCTGTGAAACAAGACAGAATCAAGGCAAGGATATAACAAATAAAATAAAAAAACAACAGTAAAATAAACGTGATGGTAATGATGGTAATAAGGTGGTGGTACTGATGATGATGTTGATGATGATGATGGTGATGATGATGATGGTGATGATGATGATGGTGACAAAGATGATGGTGTTGATGATGATTATGAATGGTAATGATGAATGGTACTGATGATGATGGTGACAATGATTATGTTGTTGATGATGATAATGAAAGGTAATGATGATGGTGATAACAATGATGGGGTTGATGATGATGATGAATGGTAATGATGATGGTACTGATGATGATGATGATAATGGTGACGATGATGATGTTGACGATGATGATAATGTTGATTGTGATGATGATAAGGTGATGATGGTACTGATGATGATGGTGATGATGGTGTTGATGACAATGATAAATGGTAATGATGATGGTGATGATGAATGGTAATGATGATGGCCAATGATAAAGATGGTAACAAAGATGATGATAATGATGGTAATGGAGAAAATGATGGTGATGACTGATGATGATGATGATGATGAGGACCAGAATTTTCAGTTACCTTAGCCTCAACATCAGCTCCTACTGATAGAATCATCTTGATGATTTCTCGATTACCTCTTATGACAGCAAGATGTAATGGAGTAAAACCTAAAAATAACAATATATATCCAAACATCCCTATCATCAAAAATATTCAAGTACAGGGACAGTCTTTACCCCCCCCCCCCCCCTGAAATCTTGAAGTGACCACCACAAGCACCCACAACAACAGGGTTTCTACCCTGCAGCTTGGAAGCTCAGGACAGAGAGAGCCTCTTAAACCCAGGGTACAGGCTATCAAACGAAATTCAGTATCAAGATATCTTGTAGTTGTGGAGGTTGTTACATTTCTTAACAGTATTTCTGCCTACCATTATAGTTTTGCCAGTGTATCTCAGGAAATTCCTCACTTTCTTTGCGTAATTTCTTATTCAACAGAACTTTTAAACACCCAATATCACCCTGAGCACAAGCAATATGTACAGGAGTGTTGCCATGACGGTCACAACTAGTTGCCTTGGCATTGCCTTTCATTAAGCATTCAGCGGCACAAGGTTGCTTTGTCAGTACAGCCAAGTGGAGAGGAGTCTGAAGATGTTGAGAATCTTGGTTAATTTCCTCACTTTAACAATCGCACACAAGGACCGGGAGATATGGTAGAGCATATGTAGGAGGGGGATGGCTGAGGCAAGACAAGTACAACTGGGAGAGTAGGGTACTGGGTTGTATTTACATGTACACATACTTTCATTGTGTTAATAAAGGTCTATTGGGTGTTCTATTCAGTCAATAAATTTTTATATTTTAAAGACTTTTAATCAGTTGGTCTGTATTATAAAGATGCTAAAACTATAAGACTTGATATTTCTTTCTGAATTTTTCATTTTAAGAGATTTTTTATTTTTGGGAAATCAGGAATTGTGTTGGATTGGAAAAAAATATTTTTCTCAAATTTGTAGCTTTTTAAAGGCTTGGGGTAATCCTTATGCATAGCAGAAACCTGACCAACCTCTAAAATTTGATTTGCGCTTCTAGATTCTGAATTTTGGGAGATTTTTTATTTTGGAAAATCCGGAACCGTGCATGGCTGGAATGGAATGGACTTCGGACAAGTGGATTGTGCGGATCACAAAACGTTTTCTTACTACGAATTCGCAGCTATTATCCTACAATTTTTATTTTAATATTCAAAACCAGTAATTTTATGCTTAAATTTTGCATAAAATCGAGTTAAATTTTTTTTCCTAATTGGAATGAACTGTGGGTTAGTTTTAGGGCAGCAAATATATCCGTTCTTCCATAGCTGTACTGTATCTATGGTTACCTCAGAAGTACAGTGTGAATGGATAATTCATGATAAAAAAATGAGAAGCCATTTCAATGTTACAGCATGTTATACCATGTAAATACTGTAAGTCAATAGTGTATACATTCTTTTCCTCTCTACAGGAATGACGTACCTGTCTAAGATAGTTGTACTCATTAACAAGGTCTCCTGGCAGGTCCTTCATGACTGATACCAGACTTTCTGTTGCATTAAACTGGCAGTTGATGACTGCAAGGTGAAGTGCACTGCAAGAAAAAATAAAGAACTTATCTTTGTTCTTATACCAATCCCTAACAATTATTTATAGAGCTAGCAGTTGTACATCAAGATTGGGTGGGTCAGGTCCATCGAGTGCCAGGACTTTGGAAAGCAGAGTTCATAACCTTCACTGAAAGGGGCTCATATCCTTTACTCCTGGTTGAAGTAACGTTGAAAACAGTAAGAGAGGGGAAACAGGTTTGTTTGCAACTTAGAAGCACCCCTGATAACAAGCCTGAATGGCTTTAGTCTTCCCCCCCCCATTCCATGACATTGATTACTGATATTTTGGCAACATCTCCTAATTGTTCTTCATCTCAGTAAAGTTATCCGTAAAATTATTATTATTTGTTCAGATCTCACCCTCCCATTCACTTCACTTGAAACAGATATACTTCCTTGAATAAATTTAATATGTACCCTTAAGCTTTTTACATACACATATTTGTTTATTGAATAACAATATTAGACTACTCACGTATCCCCATCATCATTTTGAACAGCAGTTAATTGGTGCTGGATGGCAAGGAGGTAGCGTGTGTCACCTGTAGAGGCATAGTCTCTCATAGCACTGGATGTATGCTGTGCTATGGCCCAGGCCAACTCTTTCAGCATCTCCTGAGAGGGCTGGGTACCAGGGGAAGCAGTAGCCTGCTGCATTCCTCCACCTGTACCGCCTACAATGAACACAACCACCAATCAAATTAGTTGGTTGAAAACTAGGCGGCATTATTTGGTGGAGTGCAAACAATATAACCGTGAAACTTTAGTAATACTAAATAGCACAATTTTATGCAAATTCCATTGTTTTCTATTGTTTAATTAGCATTTTTTGTACTATTTAGCAATTAGTGTTTCACGGATTAATTGTTTGCACTCTATTGAATAGAAATTATTTTTTAGTACTATTTTTAGTGCAAAATATACTTAGTAGTTTTACAAATGAAGTGTTTGTACTTGTCTGTGAATATTCAAATGTACAGCACATTTGCAAATAATACTAATGGTCCAGGGCATATAATGGATTTCCTGTAAATACCCAAGCCTCCCCTACTGGATGGGACTAGGGATGTGTAAAACCAAGTATATAAGTATGATTGGTCGTAAGGTGAGTGATTTGTTTCATTCAGTTTGCTGTAGATGGTTACTTTAGGTGACAACTTGCCAGGACACAAGAAGAGAAATGATGGAGTTTGTTTCAGTCATCATGTCATCTTCACTCATTCAAGACATACTTACTCTACATCCCATTCCACTCAGTAAATCAATATACCTCTTGGGCCTAAGGTTGCCCATTCCAGACCACAGTAACTTAAATGATGTGGCAAGTTAGCCAAAGTTTCTAATGTCTGGCCTTTATTCAGCCCCCCCCCCCCCTCACCTCATCCACACTTTCTAATTGACCTTAGAAGTGGGGGGGGTGTTGGCAAAAAGCTTTCTTTCCTGGATAATTCTTGAGTCTTTCTTCCTGTAGATTTTCTTCATTTACCCTTCTAAGGATTTGGTAAAGTTCTTATTCAGATTTACAGCCAGGCTGTTTGCCTCTATTCTCTGTCAGTGTTATGATCATATTGATGGTCTTATCATTATGGTTACCCAATGAATAGTTCTTGATTTAGAATAGTTAGCTGTCTTAGCTGTTATCAATCTTGAAGGCCACAAGCTAATCATATTAAGTACCACCTTTGCTACATAGCATGGTTTTTGTATAAGTGGCAAACATATGGAGCTGAGACTGGTTGTACAAAGGGTGGACAGCACTATCCGACGAATAAATCCTTATTCAGTGGATAAGATGATGCTGTTATCCAATAAATTTATCCATTGGATAAGATCTACCTGTTGGATAGTGCTATCCACCCTTTGTACAACTGGGCCCTGATTTACAGTATGACATGTCATTTACTTGAGAATATCTTTTTTTATCTTCCAGTTTTTCATTCAATCACAACACATAGTTTGTTGTTGCTGCACCAAGACTGTGGAATAATTTATCGCTAGAAATATGAAAGTCTCCATCCGTGTCTGTTTTTAAAAATTCTCTGAAGATACATTTAAGTTAGCTTTTAATTCATAATTTTACATTTAGTACAATTTTTATCGTTTTGTTCGCATATTTTTTTATATCTCAATTTTTATTTAGCTTAGTTAATTATGTATTATTTTTTACAAGTGAGCGCTCTGAGCAATTAGTGGATTTAGCGCTATATAAATAAATATTATTATTATAAAATTATTACTATAGTTATGATTATGGTAAGATGAGTTACAGCTACTTTGCAACTAGTACGAATTTGCCATATCGTTTCCCACTCCTTTGAAAGCAGCTTTATAGACATTTATTTTATTATAACCTTTGAAACAAGGTTGACAACAATACTGTGCTGGTGATATTTTCAAGCATTTTATTTACAACGTGCAAGATACCCTAACTACAAATCCTTCAAAATATTAGCAACATAAAAATGTTCATAAAAAATAATCTGTAATATACAGGACTTTATCTCACGTACTCTTCAAAGTACAACAATGATGTACTACGCTGTCTGCGTGTACAACATTTTAACTCGCTTAATGAGCTGATTTAACAGTCGAAAATCAGTTTCCACTGAACAAAGCTGGTCTAAATGATGATGATTCAATCAGAAAATTTAATTTTTTTTTCAGGAAACTGATTTAGACATCAATGAACCAACGATAAGGTCCATTTCAACTGTCTTATATCTTATTAATTTATTTATAATTATTATAAATATAATAAAACATGTTAATAAATCTTCTAGCTTTTCTTAATTTAGACACATACATGTATATAATAATGATTAGAAGAAAGTGTTAAGACTCTACCTCATCTAGAAATCAATGGTTACGATTAACTAATTATAGAAAAAACTAAGCATAGGAAATATTTTGTGGTACAGCAGGGCTGAATTGCAGTTTAAATTAGGTGCTATACATTTATGACCTTAAGTCTTCAAATCTTGATACCATAATAACTATAGCTCTATCAAGCTTGCTTTCTCCACTTCTGTCCATGACACCAATAAGTCTTTCACTAGACCCTACTGGCTGAAGATATATTTCTGTGACCGCTCTTGGCATCTTGATTTTCATTTATGGTCCATATGTTGCTGACGTGGACTTGACATTTGATCCATTTATTTCTGCAATATCTTTACCTCACAAGCACATTTTATGTACTCAGATTATATTTATACTATTCTGTGCTAAGTCCTAGTGTTGCACACTCTTTGTGACCATCTTACGCTTTGAATCGTCCATAGTTTTGTGTGTGACAGTGAGTTACAGGTAAGATTCAAGATCCTGTCACGGGATCATGACTGAAGATGACTGATGGGCACAGAATGATGTCTTCTTATCTTGTGGAGTTTCAGTGCACTAATTAAGCTACTTCTAAACCAAGTTCCTTGTCTAGTAACCCTACATTACGTACCCTGTGTTTGGTCGCTAGTAGTGCTTGGTAAACCAATACCAGCAAGTGTAAAGCCACCGCCAAAATTGAAATAACCAGTTGCATCACCTCCGCCGATACCACCAGCTCCACCTGCTGGACCACCTGGGGGTGGCTGGAAGTACTCAGAGAAGTGTGGGATCTTTTTACGACGTTTAGCTCCTATCTGTTCCTGGTCTGAAATAAAAAATTTATGAATATTTTCATTGACCTTGTGGGAATCCTGGAATGAAGCTCAATGGGGTGCTGATGGTGATTGAATGATGATGAAGATGAGTGTTGATGGTGGTTGTGAATGATGAGGTGATGGTGGTGATGATGATGAAGATGAGTGTTGATGATTGTGAATGATGAGATGATGGTGGTGATGATGATGAAGATGAGTGTTGATGATGATTGCGAATGATAAGATGATGGTGGTGATGATGATGAAGATGAGTGTTGATGANTGGTGGTGATGATGATGAAGATGAGTGTTGATGATGATTGCGAATGATAAGATGATGGTGGTGATGATGATGAAGATGAGTGTTGATGATGATTGTGAATGATGAGATGATGGTAGTGGAGGTGATGAAGATGATGATGATTGTAATAATGAGTGATTATTATGATGATGATGATGACCATGATTGTAGTGAATCATTGGTAGCAATGATAATACTGCTACTGCTGTTGATGATGATGATGACAAATCTTAAAGTAACTTGCAATCATGAAGATTTTAAATATGTTAGTTAAAAATAAATGATAAAAGATAGACCAAGAAAAATAGGGGAAAATGATGGAATACTGTATATGAGAGGGAAGTCCATTCTTACCAAACAGCTGTGGTGTGTATGTGAATTCCATTGGTTCACTAGTTTCTTTGTCAGATTTTCTTCGTAGTTCACAGAAAACTTTAACAGGTTTTTCTACAGCAACATTCCAGTAGGGAGGAGTTTTAAAAACTATTGCAAACTAGAGAAACATAAAACAATAAGATTGTTATAATTTTAGATAAAGAATGAAGAACTGTAGTTTCAAGTGAAACTTTAGTGCTTTGGTCTGCAGTACAATGCTGTAATTCATGGTTTCAACTCAGAAAATAGCAAACCTGTCACCATTGCAGCAGTTATTCCAGTGGAATTCAAATTAATATTGTCAAGAGAACTACAAGGAGTATTCTGGGAAATGACATAGTTATCCTCTGATGTATTTATTTGAGATACACAGTCTTGTTTTGTTTTTGTCATTGTTTTCCATCCAGCACCTGGCAGCATTCCATTGGTATACTAGCTGAGGTTATGATGAATATTTCTGTGGTTATATTAATGTGGGTAATATGAGGAGGTCTCATTCACTAGTAACCTTTTTGAAACAATACACCAGGCCAGTCAATGTGAAACATGTTAAAAGCATTTATGCTTTCTGCCAGTGTGACAATGTATGAACACTCAGCAAGTTGTATCACTAGATACATCTTATTAACGAACTTCGCATGTACCATTGTGCACTCAGCTCCTATGTTCTAAGTTTTTGAAGGTGCACGATTCTGCAGTTGACTATATACATATACACCAGGATTTTGAAAAATGAATTTCTGTAGTGGCTACTAAGACACATACCTGTCTATGAACGTCTGATGGTGCAAAGGTTCCCAGATCTTCCCAATTTACCTTGCCTTCACTATCATACTCCAAAAAGTGAACCTCAATATCGTCTAAAAAATTATAGCAAACCTTAATACATAATTATAATAGATGTAGTCCTTCCTTTGCAAGGTTATTTGACTTAATAGCCAGAGGCTAACAAACCTGTAGCCTTCTTTCCTTAATTAAATTGCAATTAAGCAGCACAATTTAAAAAGCCTTTGACGCAGAGTTGAACCAATGAGCAACAATGATTCCTGATAGTGTTACATTAAGAGACTATTTCCAAACTACAGTTTAATCTGACATCATGATAAATGGTTAAATCATGATGAAGTGAAAACATAGGAAAAGAGGGTGTGGTACCTTTTTGTACTCTGTCACAAAGCAGATATACTTCATCTCCACCTGTAACGCAGCCTGAATTTTTGTCCATTCTACAAATCTTTARCTGGCATGCTGAGGGTGCCTCTAGATATGAAGAAATTGTAAAAAAAATCAATCTGTATTCTTAATAGAACCTTTTAGCAATGGCATAAGGTTTTCCCATATCAGACCATGCCTCATTCCCTTGAGTATTATTTCTTTTATAGACCCTTCTACTTTGAGCATAATGTTTTTCCATTTCAGACCATGCCCCATTCCCTTGAGTATTATTT